AATACACCCGTAGTGCTCTCGAGTCCAGCGAAGGCACGGAGCTTCGGAGGTTCAATTACCCAACATTTTTTTCCCAGGACAGAATAGAACACATGGTTGGATTGTGACTACAGTACTACAGCTCTCCTCTACTACTAGTACACTGTAACGTTAGATCAAAGTACTATACTTTGAGATCTATCATAGCGCTCGGTAGGTCCTCCAGCTCAAGTTATGGCCAACGAGGCGAAGAGGCTCACAATTAGCCATGTCAAAAGTGCCGGCACACTGCAAATAGTCACATGTCAGGTTGATTTTGTTGTCTATTTTCTCATTGATGTCCACGTGAAACGACCAACAATCCTTTGTATGATTCCATGCCTATCATAACACGTGTCGGCCGGTTGTCGATTACTCGTACTATCAGGAAATGGAAGCATCCAAACATGTGTGGCCTCCATTGCAGTTTTGAGTTGGAACGATCTGTATCCTGGACATACGACGCAAATAATGAAACAACCAGCGCAAGAGGAGTGCATTGATAAAGGTGGGTGGGTATGTAGATCAACTAAGCTTACTCAGGCAAGCACAGCACCCACTCCAGCAATCCAACAGCTCGCTGTCAGTACAAGCGTCATGTCTCCTAAACGGTGCGTTACACCCAGTTGCTATCACCGATCAGTTGGACAAGGTAGGTAGGGCATGATTTGGGTGAATTGTGGTCCCGCCTCAGCAAGCTTACGTCTTACAAACCCGTTTTCTATGCCGGATTTACCTGGTCCATATATATAGTATTTCTATATTCAAGTGCCGTTGGCGTAAACAACTAGGCAAACCCCCCCATGTTGGGGCAAAGTCGGACGTTGGTGAGACACCAAATCGCGCGAGTTCGATTTTATGCCAGTCCAAGGGTGGCTTGCCAACCAATAAGCGAGGGTTTAGCATCTGTCAACTGCAACGATATAAATTGATACTCGTTCTCAATCATTTTTCGATTTCCACAGTCGACGCCATGTCTTGCTACTTTAAAGGGTGCGCGCGACCTGTTCTGCAAGGCGCGGCCAAATGTGACTTCCATCGACAACGCTCCATGTGTGTCGTAGCCGACTGTCGCAACCAAGTGTTTGCCCGCAATCTGTGCGTGCGCCACGGTGGCAAGAAGTCTTGTGTCCACGAAGGCTGTCGGGAAAATGTTCGCGTGGGAGACCTCTGCGGGAAGCATGGCGCCAGCGCCCACCGCAAAATGTGCATTGAAGACGGCTGCAACAAGTTTGCGCAGACCAAACAACGCTGCTCGGCCCACGGAGGCGGCCAACGCTGCAAACGATCCGGCTGCTTTGCCCACGCCCGCCGAGGCGGGTTCTGTACTCGGCACAGTTCCCTCAGTCGCCTGAACAAGGCAGATCGGTCCGAAGAATTGGTCGAAGTGTGTGACAGAGTGCAGTGTCCGCCGTTTACTTTATTTCCAAAGGTAGCCGCTCCTGCCGTGAACAAACTCAGCTTGAGTTTGATATTAAACCCCCACGAGTCCTCCAGGCGTAGTAGTGTCGAGTGGACGTAATACCTCGTCGAATAATCGACCGCCGTATTTATTATTGATCCAACGTTACTCGGGTTTCAATGCATTACACTACAGCCTTGGATTGGAAATGATTGATAACGTTAGCTTTCTTTCACATTGTGAGCCTTAACAGTGTAAACAATTGTTTGTATCTCAGTGAAAATAGGAAGTACTTGAGTTATACGATTGGAGAACACGGACTTTACCCTTTCGACACCAAACTAAGTTACAGTATAAGCAAACTGGCCATTCCGAAACTGTGTGGATGCATTTTGTGTAATAAGTTACTATTGAACTTTCGTGTGAGCACCACATTATTTCCAAAGTTAGACCTCGGTGTCGACACCGTCGACAAATCGATGGTATATCCGAGCTCGAATGTAGCTTGCAAATGTGGCTGTTCCATGTTTTATGTAGCAATTGCGGTCCCTGTAGTCGTCGAACCCAGAGAGTTATGAGCTTCAGCGGCGTGCGCGACTTACGACGAAATGCAGCGGGGGCTCTACAAATTGGAAGTTCTAGCCCGCGTTTCATCTGTAAATCGCCCCAATATGGTTACAGGAAGGGGCTCATACGTCCAAACAAGTGCACACGACGGCCCCGACGGTGCCCCATGGGTACATGGCCCCGTCCTTGAGGGTGCCGCCGCGGACCGTTTGCGCAAGCCACTCGAACATCCACTTGGAACACTCGCAGCTGCTGTATGCAACCGCGCTGTACTGACAGTGAGTAGTAGCCTCGTGGCAAGAGGTGATGCGCCATCCTTGAATACTACTACAGTACTATTAATAGTACTGTATACGTGTAGTACAACAGTACAGTACTATTAATAGTATGTACTAGTATGTACTAAGTTAGTGGTAGACTGCGACAAGTTTGCCCCCATCATACGTACTGCAAGTTGCTCGCCTCACAATGGGGAATAACGCTTGCAACCAGTTAGCTGCACCGAAATACATCCACCGGGATGGCTTCACACGCATAACCAGTATCCCCCTTTTGTCGGTCATGCACGAATCGATGGGAGATTTTTGGCCACCATTTCCATCAGTACTATGTTCATCTAAGGTCAACTTCGAAGCTACAATTCTAACATTAACTCATTTGACATCGAACGCGTGGCGGTGATTGCGGTTTACAACAGATGATTCACGCGAGAACAATTCCCTCGCTGCAACAGTAGTACTGTTGTTCCGTAACCATTTTTACCAAAAAATGCCCCTGTAACCCCGAAACCCCTGGACCCCTTGCGCTTACATACAGTGTTTTTCCCGGGGTTAAGCTGCATCACCAGTGGTTAGCTAGCGCAAGCCACAGAGATGCACTTCACATCTAGCTGAAATGTGTTGTATTGAATTTGCACTTGATTTGATTATGTGCCAGAAATAACTTGGGTTTTGTATGCCAGGCCCAAATGATTACGGAACAGCTGTACTACTGTTGCAGCGAGGGAATTGCTGTTCACGTGATTTTTGTTCTGTCAGGGACATGCAATCCCAACCCCAAAACTGTCCCTTGATTTTTATTTGCACGGAAACCTGTGGCATGCAAACACATGAAGGTTCCCGTGATTGCCACACTATTAATACAGTACATACGACGTTCAAGAAGAAAACCAAGGCCTCCATCTCCCATGATCATTACATTGTTCAACGATAATATGGATGCAGTATATAGACATGTCCAGTGCGAATTTTAACTGTAAACTGCCGCACCCCATAGCACACACCAATTACACCACCCACACTTGGTCGATATTGAAGACCAGTCGCTCGAGGCACACATGCAGACACACACTTGTATGCAGTTGAACTGTGCAACGTTTCGACCATTGATCAGATCGGTCGCTGTGGACCACTCTATGGTGTCAACACTGGGGTCAGCAAGCTTGCAACTACTAACAGTAAGTAGGTGTACGTAGTACCTGGTAGGAAGGAGCAAATGCACCCTACCGTCAAACTATTACAGTATAGGAACATGTTGTTGCACTTCGAGGTACTACTGTAATACTACATAGTAGTACTCTTAATAGTACTACGTAGTAAATGAATGGTGGGGCAAGAACGTACAGTAGAAAAACGGTGTGTGTGCCACATCATAAACACTGCAAGTGCCTTGCCACATGCAGGGTACACTACAATGTAATCTGTGATGAGGCAGTTTTTTTATCTGCAATGGATAGGGATGACCACTGGTTCAAATGTCCAACGCAATTGCTGCGATGTTGTAACGTTAAACTTACTGGAGTTCCCAAGTGTGGCTCTCCCGCACCCTCCCCGTTTTGCCCGAAGTGGAGTAAACTTCTGCAAAAATATGCAGGTGCACTTTTGTGACAAAAGAGCTCCTCTACACGTTTCCGTAGGTAGTACACACGTCGCTACGTCACTACACCTACCACACACTCCACTGCATCTCGTGCGACAAAGCCTTGGCTGCGCGCATCGACGTATGTACACGGTCAATGCACATAGCGCGCGCCCTGTCCCAACATCACAATCTTGCGCTTCCCGATCAATCTTTTCCCTCCATGTCGATGGCAATGGGTTTGTTCTCATTGAATGTATCCAATCCACACCCATCCATGTGTACCTGAGCACATTAACGACAAATCGACCAATGCACCGTCTATGAAGGGGCATCGTCCGCAAAATCCAAACCTCCAGGAACCAAATCGTGTCGTCTACCCCCCAAAGCCCCCTGACTGCTAGATGGTGATGGGGGAGGCGTTCGTTCACCGTATGGCTCATACGCCGTCGCGATGGTGGCGGCTGCGGTTTTGTCAAATTTGCTGGTTGTCGCATGTGCAAACTGTGACGATCACTCCAAAACGTAACACCACCTGTCATGAGATTATTTTATGACAGATATACTTGTATAGTGGTGGTGCCGCTTCCCAGCGTCATTAAAACATTTCCCACGTCCTACACACACCATGACGTCGTTCCACGTCCCCACATGCTACTTCAAGGGCTGTGCGCGCCTCACGACTGGCGACGCAGTCAAGTGCGAGTTTCACAAGCAACGCTCGATCTGCCTCGTGCAAGACTGCCGCAACCAAGTCTTTGCCCGCAACCTGTGCGTGCGCCACGGCGGCAAGAAGACATGCGTCTACGATGGCTGTCACGAAAACGTTCGGTTAGGGGACCTCTGCGGGAAGCATGGGGCGGGCTCCACACGCAAGATGTGCATCGAAGACGGCTGCAACAAGTTTGCCCAAACCAAACAACGCTGCTCGGCTCACGGGGGGGGGCAGCGATGCAAACTCCCAGGCTGCACCACCCACGCTCGACGAGGCGGCTTTTGCACCCGACATACTAACCAAGTTACTCGCAGCACCATCCTTGTCGAAGACACCGTCAAGCGCGTTCCGCTTTCCAAGATGAGCTTGCTCGCGATTCTCAACCACGACTCGTCTGAACTGTAAAATAATCTCATAAAGTAGTACTATTTAAATTGATTACCTTGCCTGCGTTGTCTTGCCAGCGCGAACTGCGTAGGACATAAATGTCAGCCGCGGCGATATAAACATACTCGTATGGATGGATACACGACCGATTCATAGTACAAAATACTGTAGTACTACTACGTAGTATACTTTTGGTGACATTTTTTGCGTTGATCATGTCGCTGGTGGAGAGACAATGAATTTACAACATCATTTGAAGAATCCACAATGAGGGAATCCAGAATCTACAACTTCAAGGCATTCACATGTCGCATACGTTACATTGCTTCTTACCGAAATAATTCCCTCATTAACTGTAAAACAGTTCCGCTGTTGTATTGACCACTGTTTCAATGAGGGAATTATTACATCCGGATACACGTTTTCGCCAGTAGCCGTGTAACCTGGGACTCCGTCCTACCCCCGGTGAGTACATACGATGCTAAATCTCCGGGGTTAACTGCATCGCTAGTGGTTAGCTATCGCTAACCACTGAGATGCACTTAACCCTAGTAAGAGGTGACGTGGTCTGAGCATACAAAGTTCCATATAAACCTCATTGAAAGAGTATTTCGGATCAAAACAACAGTGGTACTAATTTAATGAGGGAATTGTACCTTCTTACCGTTTTCAGCTTGGTACGCTTTTGCCTGTACCCTTGTAACCCCGGAACCCCTTGTGTTTACATATAATGCGTGCCCCTAAACCACTTGTGTTTACATATAATGTCTGTTCCCGGGGTTATGTTGCATCGCCGGTGCTTAGCTAACGCTATCCACTGTGAATGCACGTAGCCCCTAGAGTACATGTGTACAGTACGTAAGTGTTTGACATACCGATCAAACTGATCCTGATGCACCAAAGTTTACAAATTTGAAGTACAGCATTTGTATACATTGGTTGGAGTTGTAGATTCTTGCCAGAAGTTGTAGATTCTTGACAGAAATTGTAGATTCTTGACAGAAGTTGTAAAGTCTAAAATGGCGCTTGTATTTTCTATTTATCTCCTTCGAGTACCGGTACCTACAGTAAGCAAAACGGCACACCAAGACAGGAAACTATGGGAAAACGTTCAAGAAATCTGGATACCGTTCAGCCAAGACTGAAACCCGTTCAAGCAAATTTTCTTCCAGTAACCCTGTAACCCCGAGACTTCGTCCTACCCCCGTGTGCACATACTTCGAAGTATAATGCTAAATCCCCACCAGTGGTTAGCTATCGCTAACCACGGAGATACATATGTACGCCTAACTCCTACTATGAGGTGAGGTGGCCAGAGTACAAAAATTATGCCTAATTTAACTAGAGTTTATTAGTTTGAACGGTTTTCAGTCTTGGCTGAACGGTATTCAGATTTGTTGAACGTTTTTCAGGGTTTGTCCACCAAGACATGGCGGCGCGATCGCTCGTGACTCTAGAGAAATGGCGTCCGCGCAGCCCATAGTACTGTACTGTACCACGCGACGACATGATGGTTGTGCATGTCACGAGTTCGACTGAGCTCCACTGTAACGTTAATGTTAGGATGAGTGACATGTCGCTTCGCAGACTTCGCAGATTTACAACCTGTTGCGTCTGCGTTATAACTGTAAAATCACTGTAGCGACACACACCTCTCCCACTTGCATCAAGTGCGATCGATTGCGATGAAACACTTCAACCATTCATGTGGCACTTTGTACCGTCATGTTGGAAAGTTATACTGTCAGTTAACGTTGCAGTAATTACTCCGTAGTAGTTTTAGCCAATTGAACTACGTCATTTCATACCATAGTTTGATTGGCTAAAAAGATACGCTTTTATTGGTTGCAATTTATCCGGATTCACAGTATATGTTTTGAACTCGGTATGCCGCCGATCCTGCTCGACTTTGATGCGTCGACGGTGACGATCTTCTGGCGAAACACAGGGGCCACCAAGTACGACGTGCAATGGAAGAAGGCCCAAGACGATGGATGGACGTCACTGTCGTTGTCTGGGTCTCTCATGAAGAAGAAGAACATTGAGGCCGGGACGACATATCATTTCCGCGTCAAGGAGGAAGGTGCGTCGTCCTTCGGTGACCCGCTCGAGTGGGTGCACCCTAACGTCGGCTCCAATCAGCAACCCGTGGCACCACAGGTCATTATGGAGATCATGCCGAACGACGTGAATCTCCTCAGCGCCACTGTGAAATGGAACGATACCACGGCCACTCCGCCGTTTGAAGTCCAGTACCTCCTCATGGAAGGCATCTCGGACTGGATCACAGCCACATCGACCGCCAGTTCGACCGCCATCAAGAAGAAGAATCTTCCAGCCAAAGGCGTTCCATACGCGTTCCGATACCGCGCCGTCACGTCGACAAATCCGTTGTGGAGTCGCGCGGCAGGGCCAGTGCTGCCGCCCGCGCCGGCGTCGGCACTCACTCGTGCGATCGCACCCACTTTGCTCACTCCATCTGGCAGCAGCGTATCGTCGCCTTCCCTCGGCGGAAAGGTCATTGGCCTCTACTTTAGCGCGCACTGGTGCGGCCCGTGTCGCCAGTTCACCCCCATGTTGGCCCAGTTCTACCACTCAATGCAACAACTCGGTAAGCCTTTCGAAGTCGTGTTTGTGTCGTCAGATCGATCCCAGCGGGATTTCGACGGGTACTTTGGCAAAATGCCCTGGCTTGCTGTCCCGTACGAGAGCGACGAGCGCGAGGCGCTGGAAGCTCGTCATGAGATCCGGGGTATTCCCACGCTCAAGATCATCAACACCCAGGGCGCGGTCGTCGACGCAGACGCGCGCCAGCGGCCGCTGACGGCGGCTACGTTTGATCGATGGTATGCCCAGAGCTACAGCTCGTAATCTGCGGCGTAAGCGTTTTGGGGCAATCATGACAAAGTTGAGGATAGATAATATTTCAATCCCAGGATATATGTATTTTGTGTTGAAGTCGTTTTAAACGCTTTTCAAATACATGCCTTATCATAGTATGTAAGTATAATTAATAAAACTAGTATACCAACTGTACATTTTAAATATTTGAAATCCTGTTTGGATTCTTATAACGTTAAACGTTAGCCAAGTTTTCAGGCCCTCGGAATAGAGTACTGTAGTTAGTTGTGACTCAAGACTACTGTATATGTATGTACAGTACATATGTATCGGTACATATATGGCCTTGACCGTTCTGTGGTTGACATTGAAGTAAAGACGTTGAGTCGACGATTTTCATCCGGAATTATAATTCAATTCACCCGTACTTCTTTGCTGAGACGCAAATAGAGTCTCAGCAAAGAAGTACGCAAAGCGACTCAAATTATAACTTACAAAATTTATACCATACTATAAACAAATACAGTACCTTCATTGTGTTTGATGAAGTGGTGTGTTGACGGGGACTCGGACGCCGACGATGACCAAGCGCACGGATGGCACTCAAGGAGCGTCATTACTTGACCTCGCCATCCCTCATCGCAAACAAACGAACCTGTGGACAACCATGTACGCCGCCCGCGACCGAAGCACGTTCATCACGTCACGTGATGAACGGTGGCGTACATGCTTGATCCCGACACGTTTGACCTCTTGCTCGCCTTCTTAAGCATTACTTAGCTCACCATCTCAATGGAAGTGGAGGAAGACCACCTAAGATCAACAGTATCAACGAAGCACTTTCGCTGATGTTGCACTTCTACAGTGCACCATGCGAAGTCAAAACACTCTGTGTTACTACTTATCAAGCAATTTACTGTTAGTAAATACAGCTAGCATACACTGATCGAACTTCTCGTGCCGTTCATGCATCTCAAGCCGCTGGGTTTGGAATGCTGCATCAGTGATGCAGCATTGGCTTTGTTATGAAAATGGAGGAGCGTGATGCTGTATCACGCTCCTCCATTTTCATAACAAAGCCAATTAATGCAGCACCATGCGTACCGGATTCCTTGCGTTGCCGGGGACCGGTGTGCGTCGACGGCAAGAAAATCACGTGGACCTCGGGTCTGTTCATCCTTTGCCTCGCGATGGCTTTGCCATGCTCTTGTTGGGGGACATCGTCAAGTTACTTCGACACAACTGGTCAACAATGCTGTACAAGGTTTTGATTGGCCTATTATATCCAATCACAGCTATGCATTTTTCAATGGCTGACCAATTTGAGTCGGTTTTGGTCGAAGCTTTTCAGCATCGGCTCAATAATAGTCACTCACAGTTCGGATAATTTTTGTACCACAGTGGGTTCAAAAGAAGTTTGAGACGGTTTTGGAAGTCTCCCATTGGCAAAAACACTTCGTCGCAACGACATAAGCGGTCGTGTGACTACTACATGTAGTAAGTTACTTATTGCGATAGACACTGGTTGCAGGCTTCGAATTTTGTGCTAACTTTAACATTATGTACGACACTACAGTAAGTTACTGCTTACTCAGCATATCTATCTCTATGTGCCTGGAAACAAACGATATCTACAGGTACATACAACTACAACTGGCAATAGTTCTATTATTCAAGCTTGTTCGAACACAAATATACCGTGAAAAAAACGCACGGAAAAACTACAGTACTTTCGAATGTGATACACAGACGCTCTTGGGTTGGATACTCGAACATGATTGGATAATATTCTCGAAGCCGCAGGCCAATCACAATAATCTCGACAAATAAACTCAATCTTGACGGTTGAACACTGTCTGCAGCACGACCGACGGGGACGACGACGACGTGGAAGACTGTGCCAAGATCAAGTCGTTGCGCTCCGAAGTCCTCGAGGCTTGTCGGGGCGCCGGTGGGGGTTCCTCTCGAGGTTGGTACGAATACAAGGTAGAATACAGGTTGTTGCTGTTGTGGTGGAGGTTCGTGGCGCCGTCGTCGTGGCTATATACGCTGCTTCCGTCGGCATCTTGGAGGAATTGATGTTGGCGCTGCATGTATCCGTACTGGGGGTGGTCCACCCTTGGGTCGTCCAAGTAGGACTGGCTGGCTTGTGGGGGATAAGTATATGGAGGCGACTCGTGAGAAGACGACGACGGCGGGGCGCGGCGAGGGTCGAGCAACGGAGCAGGTGCGTACTGGTGGGGATGCTGGTGATTGGGATGGTATATGTGGTGGTGGTGATGCCGGGGAGGAGGTTGGTGCTGGTGCTGGTACGGGGGTCTTCTGTCGTGCGCGTACATGGGATATTGCTGGGACGACGTCGTCCCCCCGTACGAGTTTGCATACTTATCTCCACGAGAAGCATGCAAGGCGCTGCCCGGCGAGTACATTCGCGGATCGCGATCATAAGGGTCGATATACTCGTACGGGTTGACAAGCTGCGGTCCCCCACCATACCGGTCTATGGTTGGGGACGGCTGGTACGCCAGCGATGGGTCGTAGCCTTGTTGCTGATAAGGGGATTGCTGCTGGTGGTGGTGATATGGGGACTGATATGGGGACTGCTGCTGCTGGTGGTGATATGGGGACTGCTGTTGCTGCTGTTGGTGTTGAGAATGATGATGCGGCAGTTTGGAAGCAAGTCCGCGTTTGGCATGGACACTACTTTGGTGAAAACTCACAAGCGACTCGGAGTAGTTGGACATGTCATCTTTGAATACAGACTGCAGGTCGTCGTCCCACCCCCCAGCAGGTCCTCCCCCTCCTCGTCCGCCTCGGGAAGGATGGTGATGATCCATGTATGGTCGAGGCACCACTGGTTCTGGCAACCCAGCATACGAGTCTGGTCGGGGAGGGGGGGGGCGTACGAGGTCTTCCTTTCGAAGCGTGATCATAGTCGACGCCGGCGGCAACCGATGGTGCTGCGGGTGCCGTTGGAGCGCCACGGGCGTCTGGTGTCCACCAAACGGGTCGGCGTGGTGCGTCGGCGTTGTCTGGTTCAACACGTGGACGGACGCGCCGACCTTTGCCGCGTGGGGCTGCGACGACGTTGGCGTCGATTCGCCTGTGATGCTCAGCCCCGACAATTGGCGCGTGAGGGCGGTGTCGTCGGGTTTATACGAAGGCGAGTACACGGGGGAGGACGCGGCCACGGGGTGCTGGCGGAGCACCTGGCGAGGGGTTTCGTCTTGCTGCGAGTCATCTGGGTCGTCGGGGTCGTCGACGATCGTGTTGGCGTCGGCGGGGGGGTCCACTGTATCGCAGGAGCAGGCCGTGCACACCCGCCGCTTGACGGCGTTGTTGGCAATGCGCACGTCCCAAATCTGGCTGCACCGCCGACACACAACTTCGCCGCACTTGCGGCACTGACCCTTCTTGGACAACGGGCCAAACTTGCGCTGGCACACAAAGCACTTGCTGCGGCTGTCCTTGGGTACGAGCTCGGCGTCGTGGAGGAACGTTCCTTGGGAAAGCCGCTTCTGTCGCAGAAACGAGTCCATGCCTTTCATTGTGCGACACCGTCGTTTCATGCCCAAGTCTACCCACACGTCGGGCAACTTGCCCCGGAGATCGGCCTGGATCAGCTGCGTCACTTGAAGGTACCCTGGCCGATTGGACTGCAAGAAACAGTACCCCGACCGGTGGTGGATACCGCGCACAAGGCCCAGCGAGTTTTGGAGGTCGGGACAACACGACAAACTGACCGATTTGAAGGCGCGCGTCCACCCTTGCTTGCCGTCGAGTTCAAAGTCGTGCTGGGTCTACGACAGGCCAGCATGATGAAGAAGACGATATGTGTGATGGCATGGCATACCTCGAGGAAGCACCAGTCGCGGGACTTGGCGATCCCGGGGATGGGACTCTCGAGGGCGAACCATCTGATTGCGACGGAGTGATGCGGGTTCTCGGCCGTCCGCCGACGCAAGTTGTACAGAACCTGTCCGTCCAACACATCCTTCATAAACATTCTGCAGTACTCCTTGAACTCGTCATTGGATTCCGAGCGAAACAGCGACACCACTTCTTCGATCGTTGCCATCACTTCGGTCACCCCTAGCCACGATAAGACACCGGGAGGTGCGTCCGGGTCCTCTCCCTTGTAGATTTGAATACTCGATTCGTCCGACTTCAACGTCCACTTCACTGGACCACCCGTGACCCGTGAATACCGCACCTGTGCACGATGGACGTTAGATTACGAGGGAGACGGCGTGGACGCACCAAGTCCACGGAGATGTCGTCCGCATTCGTCAGCAGCCGCACCGTCTCGTCGACGTTGAGGGCTGGGCACCGAAAGAAGTTGGGTGGAAGCGGGAACTTGGACATGGAGTCGCTCTCTCTCGCGGCGCTGCTGCGTGGGCTGGATAGACAGTGAACTGCGTTGCAGTAACGAGATGCTCAGGCGTTCTCTACGTGTTCTTTATAGATATATATGAGGTATTAAAAATGAAAGGCAAAAACAGTCAATTTATTAGGCATGGCATTATTGGTCGCCCGAATCTTGGGGCCATGCTACAATTGATACTAGCTTCGACTGACGACGATTTGGTCGTGGTCATTCAGTTGGTCGTGATTAAGTGGGGAGGCGTCTTCGAGCCTGGATTCCCAGTGGGCAGAGTGTTCAAGGTAAAAACGTTGATGATCGAAATATATAATGACGCCAGGCATCTGAGAAAATATATACGTCGAAGTATTCACAAGAGGTACAGTGTAACCCTGGTGTTTTAAACACGTTTCGGACGTCTTTTCCAACCATCTACACAAACGAAATGGCCGACGTCATACACATATCAAGATAAAATGGTTTTTGGTATGGTGTCCTTACCAGGATCGAACTCTCAATGGCGATGAATGATTGGTGTGAGTTTTCACTATAATAACACACCAAATGGTTTAAATTGGTTAAAATAATTGCGAGGGGAAGCCCTAGTACGTACTCGGAGGTCACACAGAAGCTCCGCTCTATAACGCCCCCCCCCTCCTTGAAGGGCAACTCGAATAGAGACATTCGTATCGTCCAGCCACATTCATCCTGCCTACGTATTACACCTGCAATACAGCAATGTGCACTTTCTAATTGGACTTTGGCGTTTCGCTGTGATGCTTGAGGAACGTACCTACCTGTAGATCTGGCACGTACCTACCTGTAGATCTGGCGCTCACGGTACTTTTCCTTTGACTAATCTTGGCCTATGACGTACAAACTGACAGAGTTGCGACTACTAACGTTACTGTGCAAGGCGAGCTTTGACAGCGGCGTCAATGTTTTGGTAATTTTGGTACCGAAATGAAGCTCGGTACTTACTATAAATAATAATACACCCAAATGCCCAGTGATTATACGGTCAAATACCCGGTAAAATGTCATCCATTGTTTAGCGCTGTGTCGTTGTGGGAGCATCCGCCAACATGCCGCGAGGGTTGCCACTGCCGCCGGGGTACTTTCGATGCCCACCACTCAGTCCTGAAGATATTCGACCCTGCACTGACCTTACGGAGACCATGTCCATCGATCTGGTATGTGCGTATCACGTGATCGGACCTCCCTGACGACGACTTGCCACAGATTCAGCACGCGCAGCTCAGTGGCGGCCCCATTGCGTGGACGTTGGACGCACGCAACAGCGACCCCGACATGCAAGTGTATGCCGGCGACGATCCGTTGGCGCCTCCGGGTGTGGTCTCCTTCTGCGCTGTCACGGACGTCAAGGCCACCGTGGACGACGTGGCGGGTCTGTTTTACACCCCTACGACCGCCGACTACCGCGCGTACTGCCAGCAGTCTGCCAAGGGCTCGTTAGATGCGGCGGTGCTGTACACGTTGGCGGCGCCGTCGTCTTCGTTTCCCCGGCACAGCATCGCCATCAAATGGGTCTCGATGACTCTGATGGCGGGCCTGCCGGCGCGGGACGTCGTGTTCCTCGAGTGCCACCACGACTTTGACATGCAGGGAGGGCGGCGGGGGTGGGTCCGTTGCTGCAAGTCCATCGAGATCTCGTGCTGTCCAGACCTGCGGGACTCGCACGGACTCGTGCGCGGCTCGTTTCACCGCGCCGGCTTTGTGTGCGTCGAGACCGATGTCCCCGGCACGCTGCGGGTGACGTACGTGGTGCAGATGGACGTCCGTACCCGCCTGCCGCGCATCTTGGCGGCGGCGGCCGTCCGCAAATGGACGCGGCGGTTGGCGAACATGCAGCTGTGTGTGTGGGGCCGCAAGCTGTCGACTGAAACGTTCCTCCCCCTCGAGAAACTGATTCCCCAAGACACGCGAGGGCGCTGCATCCTATGCCAGCGCAAGTTTGGCGCGTTCGGGGCCAAGGAGTCGTGTCGCAAGTGCGGGCACGTGGTCTGTCGCAGCTGCAGCAAGGACTGGCACATCGTCACACAAGGCAGTTTGCACTGGATGCGGCTCTGTTTTGTCTGCACCAAGCGCAAAGTCGCCTTGTCGAGCGCGAGCCTTTGGGATCGCCATCACAATGCCCACATGCCAGCAACGTTGTCCTCAAGACGGGCGATTAGCTTGAACCACGAGCCCGGTCGAGTCTACTATGAGCAGCAGCAGCCGTGGCAGTCGGAAGCGTCGCAGTCATCGGGGAGCCGCCGCAGACGAACCCGACCGGGGGAAAACCAAGGGGATGATCGAGGCAGTGGTATGGAATGGACGGGCGAAAGACGTCGGGGCTTGTCCTTACCCCCGCCGACGGGCACATGGCAGCTAGACGTAGGCCATGTGCCTGTCAATAGAGTCATGGAAGCAATAGCACCACCGGACGACATGACACTCGTGCGCGTGAGCTCGTGGTCGGAACTTCCGGCATCGAGACGACAGTGGCGATGAGGATAAGTTAGTTTAAATGTTTGCGAATGATGTTATTCTCAAACACTCCAACCCGAAATATGCAACAACACATGGTGGTGAGTGTGGGAATCGAAAGACAAAATATTCATGCACTTTGACGCTATATTAGTATTAATTAATACTAACTGTAAATAGGAGAATGAATCTAAACATGCTTTCATATTGCCGACTATTAATAGGAGGAAGAGCCAAAAGGCAAGTTTGCATGCGCTGCCGCTGCTACACATGAGAGCTTCAGTGAGCCACCACCTTCGATTCCAGTATGCAAAAAAGTGTTTATATACTTGGCAATGTCCATAGTATTATCATGTTCACTATTTGTAGTGCCAAACCCTGAATATGCGTACCAAGCGACACGAGTTTGGACAGCGCATGCCATAGCGTCGTCCACGACGACGACCACCACGACCACTTTGAACACGCTGTTGTGACTGCACTGGGCTGGCTAGGATTACCGCTGGGTTTTGCCTGATTGACAAAGCCAGCGTGTTCCCTGGCTTCTCACTCGTCCTGCCTTCGCTTAGCGCGGGGGTTTTGATTGCAGGGGAAGTTCAACGCGTCCACCTTGAATACCTCTCCGGTGGTGTACGAGGCCAGCTACGAGTTGTATACGAAGTATATGACTTTGAAGGATGCTCATGTTTGTGTTCCGAATGATCAGCCGTTTTACATACAGCCGTACATGACGGTGGCGTGCAGGATCAACTTTGTCGCATTTGAGAACCGCATCCACTGAGTCCAGTCCAAGTGGATGGTGCCCATGCTGTTTCAGCTCCTGCTGGGGGACCTGCCCTATCGCTTAGCATGTACTCCGACTAAACTGCGTCGTTCACGTTAAACGAACTCGACTTGCCGTAGATGGACGCTCCTCATGACTTAGTGGTGGATTAGTCGATGGCCACTTCGTCCCAAGTAGCTGTCGTGTCGAAAGTTGCCAGTCCGTTGACCACCACGGGGCTAGACGGGACCACTTCCCCCCAGCTTCCCCCATCTGAAAAACACTTCAAGAACCCGAGTCGCGAAACTCGAGACATATTTTTAGCGATTCAAGGTGGAAAAGACATGAACGCTGTGTGGGACAACAACCTGACATTTTTGAACTCGTCGAGTTAGTAACTAGTTACGTGTATTGTACCCCCCCCTACGCTCAAGTGCTGAATCAGGACCACGAAGCGCCCCACGGACTCGTGGTAGTGCTAGGGGATTCGCATGCCGCCATGACGAAACCGCGTTGTTTTGTTGTTCGTGCAGATGTATCAGGACGCAGTCCATACTCATCAAATGACGTTGATGGCCGCCGCGGTCGTGTCAGGATGCCACATCATCTGGGTTTGTTCAAAGCGAGTGATCTCCTACAATTTTCCATGGGCTGCAATACTTTCGTCCCGAATGGCCCCCTCACTTGATGCCACTTCCCCCTCTGCCGACTCCCGCTGCTGCCAAACTCTGTACGACTCCTGCCCGTGCCAAACCCAAGCCAACGCTGACGAGTTTTTTGCGTAGATGGACGTTGAGAGTCCGAGAACTTATGCGTCTTGGGATTCGACTGTTTGAAAATAGTACGTAAAACGCCAAGTTCTATTACTTTTTGTACCCGGTCCATGGCACCACCATCCAAGCAGAGTCGTCCCCCATGCATCGCTCCGAGTTTGAAGCCAAGCACGGGCATTTATTATTAACCAGCCTCGCCCGAGACGGCAATCAACTTTCCCAAGTTCCAAGTTCTCGCCAATGCCATTAAAGTAGCCAACGCGACGCTGTTCTGACAAATTGTGCTACGAGGACACGTGTGCAAGTCGTGAATAGTGGCGCCACTGTACGACAGCCACATAAATATATGGGCGTACACGGCTCAGTGCCGTGGCGGCGGCGGCGACTGGCCTTGACCTGCCAGTACCTTATTTCTTTTCGGATTGAAAGCAGCTAACGTTGACAGTGGAATTGTGCGCACTGGAGGCTACCATATTGTCCGAAATCTCCCACTTCGAATTGATGTGCAAGTCGTGAATTATGCCGCCACTGTAGTAGTAACGTTATGAAAAAGATATGCGATAACGTAATTGTGCTTTCGAGTGAACTTTCGTGGTTTCTCGTTGGAATTTCAATCGATTTGATTGGCTACCTCAGATGATCTCAAAATTATTAGCCAATCAAAACCTTCTCAATGAAATTCAACCAATCAGATCGATTGTGGATCGGATTGGTCGGCGCGATTCGATTGCACCCCCTCCCCCAAATTTGTACTATCAAATCGACAATACCTTCAATCATACAGTTCCATCTCCACCGACACTGCGAGGGTGATGTAACAGTAGTATCATTGTGTACTAACTTACTGTATACTCCGGAGTAACTAGTATTGTGCTTTTCACATATTTTGGCTAATCTGGGTATAAATACCCGCTTTTAACCAGTGGGTGACGAAGTTTTAGATTAATTCAACTTAGTTTTAGCTAATCGGAAGTACCTATGATTGGATGAGCACGAGCTGTTCCTGCAGCATATGTTGCTAACCTGAAGCGTTTGCCCAATTCATTTCGGCAAACGCGGGGGTTTACAGAGTGGATTAACTAATACACGCGAGTGTGATTCTTGACTATGCTCGATAAAGGTTGATGTTGAGTGCTTCTTGCTCGACTTTTCGTGCCAACGAGTTGCTAACAAGCTGGCTGCAAAGCTCGTGTGAGCTGGTGCACTGCGAGCTTACCCCAGTAGGTCATTACTCTGCATGCCTGCTTGGCCACGGGAGTTAATAAAACGAAGTAGTTTTAGTAAAACAACGCAAGTTTTAGATCAGCCAATGACAGAACGGTGGGGAAGCTTACTTTTACGTCGAGTGCAACTTCAGTTTAGGTTAAACTTTGGATGGTTTTAGGAGCTAAAACAACGGGCAAAATATGTGAAAAGCACAATACTACTGTAACATGACGTAGAAGCTACTCTAATAATAGACTGTGTTGGGGGCATACAGTACATCCTCACATTTCAAAGTACATATTTCGAAGTACTTCGAGTAGTACTGTATGCGTATACGTCATGCCTCCAAAGAACTCCATATATACGCGAATACTACAGTAGGCAATAAATTCATATAACGTTATATATATATATAAATGCTGCTACTTGTATTTCAAATGTTATGTTGACACACACGCTAACGTTTCAGTTTACTCCCACAACCCTTCCTCCTGCTGCCTTGTAACTTGTCTTCCCATACGTTTCCTTGTTCTTTACTGGCTGTTGTTGTGGATGTCAATCACATCGTCCGAGGCCGGGTCTGAAAACGTCCGGTACAGCGGCACCGTGCCGCCGACGTTCTTGAGCTCCATGCGCGCGTCATTTCTTTCGTCGTGGAGCCGTTTGAAGTACGCTTCGTTGATGTCTCCTGTGACGTAGTGCCCGTCAAAGCAGGATGCGTCCCACTCGGCGATCGTCGGGTTCTCCTGGTTACAGCTGGCCTTCAAATCGTTCAAATCCTGGAAGATCACCCAGTCCGCAGTCAGCTCTTCGGCAATTTGCACTTCGGTCCGGTTGTGCGCAATCAGCTCCTCGCGCGTCGGCATGTCGATGCCGTACACGTTCGGGTGGCGGATGCACGGCGCAGCGGAGGCAAAGTACACGGCCTTGGCACCGCTTTCCCGCGCGATCTGGACAATCTGGCGCCCCGTGGTGCCGCGCACGATCGAGTCATCCACCAACAGCACCACCTTGCCTTCGAATTCACTAAAATAAATATATATATGTCAGTGAACTATATGTGGGAAATGATATATATATATATGAAATGGATTGAGTCGAACCTCTTGATCGCGTTCAACTTCATGCGCACCGTCTTCTTGCGAGCGACTTGGCCAGGCATGATAAACGTACGCGCAATGTATCGGTTCTTGACAAACCCTTCACGGTATGGAATCTACATACGAATGATATATCATTTGACTATTATTTATATATATATATATAACTTGTGCAACAACAGTGATGTTATCCGTCGGCTACTGTAATATATATATATATATATATATATCAGTCATATATGCGACAACGTCCACACCAACAGAAAGGATATAATATATATGCATGCATGGTTCCCCATAACCACGTCGCTCGTCCTTGTTTTGGGTAGAACACATAATATATATCCACACGTTGGCAGTTTCCATATATAATATACCACTCTAATACTACCCAATAATACAATCCACACAATAATATTTATAATAATATATTGTTTGGGGCAATGTGACAGAGAGTACGTACGTTCATGCGATGCGACATTTCCAAAGCGCTCGTGCGGGACGTGTCCGGGATCGGAATGATCACGTCAATCGCGTGGTCCGGCTTGAGTCGGAGGATTTTTTCAGCCAGTTTAGTGCCCATGTTGCGGCGCGCTTGGTACACAGAGATGCCGTCCATGACCGAGTCGGGGCGCGCAAAGTACACGTGTTCAAAGATACATGGGCTGAGGCGGGCGGACGGGGCGCACTGCCGGGTGAAGAGCTCCCCGTCGGGGCGCACAAAGATGGCCTCTCCGGGCGCCACGTCACGGACCAACGAGAACGATAGCGCGTCGATTGCAACACTTTCCGACGCAATCGAGTAGTCGGTACCTAGTACAAACAAAATGTAAGACAACCACTCGACGTTTTTTGCGAAAATTTGGTCATATTTTGCGAAAAAAAGAAGGAAAAACAGGATAATAATGTTGCAAACCAATACAAGAAGCATGCATGTATGTGTATATACCGTAAACGCTCTTGCGGCTGCCAAACACCAATGGGCGGATGCCAAAGGGATCGCGGAATGCCAAAATGCCGTGGCCGTTGATTAAGCACACGACAGAGTACCCGCCGCGGCACCGCTTGTACAGCTGCGCGACCGCGTCAAAGATCTGGTCGACGTTCAACGGGTGCGAGTTTTGTTTGAGCAGTTCGTCGGCGAGAATGTTGAGAAGCATTTCAGAGTCCTACGTGAGGCATGAGTGAGTCATTGCTTCATGATGGGTACATGGAGGGACATACCGAATCGGTGTTGACGTGGCGAAAGTTGGAGTTCTTCAAGTCGGATGCCAACTCGTGCGAGTTGGTGAGGTTTCCGTTGTGCGCCAACGCGAGTCCATAGGGCGAGTTCGTGTAGAACGGCTGGGATTCGCAGCTGGAAGACGAGCCGGCCGTGGGGTAGCGGCAATGGCCAATCCCCATGTGGCCCAAGAGGCTGAGCATGTGGTTTTGCTTGAACACGTCGCGGACGAGGCCGTTGTCCTTGCGCAGATGCAGTCGGCCTTTGTGCGCGGTCATGATCCCCGCAGCATCTTGGCCACGATGTTGGAGCACGGTCAAGCCGTCGTACAGCATTTGGTTGCAATGTTCATGCTTGTTGGCGAGGAGGACCGCAATGATGCCGCACATGACGACGATGGGATTGAGAGGCGAGGCGAGTCGAGTTGTGGGTTCCAACACCACTGCCTAACGAATGTTATCCGGATTCCGGATACTAGTATGTTGGGGTTTGTATGGGCAGGCGGGACGCGGCCGGTTGCCATCCCATTCCCGCCCGCTGATTGGCCGGTGCTGCAAGTGGTTTTGCCCACGCCTTGTCCGAGCCAATCAATGCGCCTAAATAGGCAAGCGCCTAATTCGACCAAGATCGCGGGGTCCGCGGGCCGCACACGGCAACTCGCATCTCGCGTCAGAGCAGCAGCATAACGAATGCTTCGAGCCGAAGATCGTTTTGGAGCGGATGGTTCAAGAAGGATTCAGTGGATGTGGTTTGCTGGCGTTGTCGTGGAATGTTGATACTCACAACTCGTAACATAAAGTGTACATGTAGTGGGACTGTGTCAGCGGCGGCAGAGAGAATCGGAGTATATATGCCAAAACGCGCTGCTATCTCCATGTAATGTTAGCCAGAAATCGAAGGCCATGGTTCGATAGTATAGCTCTCGAATTGACCGAGGGCATTGCATTACTGTACTGTACAGTAGCTGAGTGAGAAGGTTGGTTCCAGTGTAATTACCACCGTTTACAAGATTGCAACCATAGCTGACACCTGAGACTTGTGAATGGAGGCATTCAAATGAGTGGCCGAGGGTGAATTCACACGGATATATATACATATGCATACCTAGAACGAGTTCCTAATAAGCCACCGAAAGGTCCAGCACAAGAACAACACATATGCACCGGTGAAGATGGGAAGGATCGTCGTGCGTGTCGCCAGCGTGTTGGAGTGCGCGCGAATAAAACGTGTTTTTGGTCCTAATTTCACTTGTTCAATTAGGACTTATCGAAGTCGGTGGAACTTCCGTGGATGTGGCTACCCAAACAAACGAACTTTGGTGTAGGGTGGGGCTAAATATAACGTTGTCACAAATTATAATACTTCGAAGTACTAACGTTAATAAAAGTAATACGTAGTACTATTTAATACTAGTAGAATAGAGTAAAAGGTTACTTCAAGTACATATTTACACCCATGTAAACCAAACCGAAGCCCTACTTACCCATGTACATACAGTATATATACAGTATATTGATATTGATATTACGCTGTAAAGTTAAAATCACTCAGCGGGCACTTAATGGCGTACTAGCTGCATTGGCAGCTAGCGGACTTAACTACATATATATATATATACAGTACTAATGTTAGCTAAGTACACAACGCTACGACTTTCAACGACGATCGATATATTAAAACCCGAATCTACATCGTGAATGATGCTTTTAAAGGCTCTTTCAAGCCAAGGGCAACTTGGCGGCTTCGAGTGCCTTGAGCAGCGTATCCCATCCCGCTTGGTTGGTCGATTGCGCATACACTTGTTGGAACTACCAGCAACCACCAAAAATTAAATATAAGCAAAAATAGTTAATTCCAGACTATTTCGTCATTGAATTCCTCGTACAAAGTGGGGCGTGGCGTGGCTCTGCCGGGAGATCGATTCCAAGCACATCTGGCGTCCGTTGCCGATGTGGGCCGCATAGTCGACGCCCGCCGACGACGCAAAATGCAAACTCGTGTACCCGGCGTCGTACCCTACCAAAAAAATTATAATAAGTAAATAATACATAAAACAAATGACAAATACCCCCCATTGAATACTACTAAATATATATATATAAAATAAAATAAAATCAAACGACGCCTACCCCATCGAATAGTACTAGACGTATATATATATATATATATATATTTGTACCCGTCTCCTCCAAATCGATCAAGATCTCGTCCTCCGTCTTGTGCACAGTCGTGGACGTGTCTTCTTTTACGTCGAGCAGCTTTGAGATGGCGGGGAAAATTTTGTCCAGCAGTTCTGCGTCTTTGCCGACAAATGTATCGGTTACGAGCAGCGTTAGCCCCACCAGTGCCGCCTAAAGCAATCAATATCAACGATTATATTTTCATGTGTTTTCAAAAAGGAAGATGTTTTTCATTGAATAATATATGTAATATGACAAAAGCAAGCATCGATTCCAACATCCATGCTCCTCCGATTCGATGCTATCTATTACTACTAGTACTACTAGCCAATTCACGTACCTTGCGTTCGTGCGGGCCCTTGGCTTTGACGGCATTGTCAACCCAAATTGGATTCAACAGCATCTTCATCATGCTATATATATATATATATATATAAGCACATGTGATTATACGAATCCCATATGATATATGTATAGTCCATAGAATCATATCGTACCCTGGCTGGACAGATTCCACAGCATTCACGAGCGTCGCGGCGCCGTGCTTGGCCACAAAAATGGACAGAGTGACGATCATTTCTTTCGAGTAAATCGACGCATTGCGCCCTGACAACCGAGACTGCAGCCGCATCATGAGGATCTTGACCAGTTCTGGCAACAACGGCTGGTATGCCGCCCTACAAATAGAATTGATATATATATATATATTTATACCCCCGTCGAATTGTTTTACTATTAGTCACGTACATATATATATATATATATATATGTATATTATAATCCAAGTCAGCCTTGGAATACTGAAAGCCACAAGATAATAAAAGTGTCGAGCCTTTGACACATTTCAATTGCCAAATTCTTGACTATATATACGTCAGCGTCTTTCAAAAGGCTGTATATATATCGTATATATTTAAATATATATGAAATATATATATTTAAATATAGTAGTATATATACACACGGAATACTGTGAATTTCCAAATCTTTCTTTTTTTACACAAGTGCCAACGACTCGAGTATACGTCGGTGCCTTGAAAGTCCATAAATATATTATATATTATATTAATATACGTCAGTACAATATATATATATATATATATATATATATATACACGGAATACGTCCAACCCAAACAATGGAAAGACACAAGAGGGGTGGCGTAAATGACGCGTATGATATATATTCAAATACCCTCCAATATATATATATATATATACGTACAACGGCACGTAAATCAAAAACGGGCGCAGCAGCGCAAACGCTTGGGTCTCAGTCGTGCGGTTGGACAGGAGCTTCTGAAACACCCCGAGCACGCCGGTGGTGTGCGTCTGCATGGTCGCGGGGGCCTTTCGCAGGTACGACTCGAGCAGCTTGACGATGGCTGGTACGGTGCTGATGCGATCCCACAGGGCTGGCGTGAGCAGCACGGGAAACAAATTCTGGTACGCCGCCGACAGCTGCGCCGACGGATTCATGTCGAGCAGCTGCGCCAACACTTGGTACACGTACGGGCACAGCGGCTACAACAAGAGATAGATACATTATAAACTATAGATTGATCAAATATATTTGACGACTTGTTTGTCACGATAAACAATAGATTGATCAAAGATATTTGACTTTTTTCCATAAACGATAAAAGACTACTGAGGTCGGGGTATTATTATAACGGATGGATAGAAATCCAAATGAAAATCCATTTTAAGCATCCCACAAATGATCCATATAAATGTTTTATAAATGATACAAAAAACGCCAAAATTAAAACAAAAAGTCGACAAAAAACCTCTTCTTTTTTAAAATTAAATATCCCACAAATGGTCAATCCAAGTTCAAACATCGATGCAATACATATATATATTATTGTGGTTTGTTCTACTCAAAATATATATATATATATTCCTCCGTTGGCCGTTGGTTGAATCAACCGCCGAACAATTGCCAGACCTTTGAAATTCAATATAAAACAAAGTTGAAGAGGTATCTTTGAGGCTGGAAGACTGCATAATCAATCTTTTTAGCCAATCAAATTGCAACCCCCTTCATTCTTTGTAGCCAATCATCATGCTTCTTTGCTCGATTAGTTGATTTCATCATCCCCAAAATAGGTAAATTTGATTGCTGCAATGCACAATACAAAGTTCAATACAAAAGAGACAAAGGACCAACCTCAACGTCCGAGATGAGCACTTGCTGGAACGGTGGGAACAAGAGGCCTTCGAACGTGTCTGTGAGGGCAGGGTTGAGGGTGCACACGTTCGCAATGAGCATCGACAGCGACTCAAACAAGCAGTGCGAGAACGCCGGGTTGCTCGGGTTTTTGCACACCTATTTATGTCCACTTATATATATATATTATAGAAATATATATATATTACCTTTTCCAGCAACACTGTGAGTTTGTGCACGAGCGTGTCTGCGATCGGCAGCACATAGTCTTGGGCAACAATTAAAATGCGCAGCACCATGCGGATGAGGTAGTCGTTCTCAGGGTACGACGGCTCGCACAAAATCCCAAACACTTGAGTTAACAAGGGCGAAACATAAGGATTTAAGAGGTCCTTGTTGAAGCGGCGGACGGTGGCGGTGGTGCCGCCATGGGGAGGGTGGTGGTCACTAATATACGAACATGATGAGGATATTCCACTGATTCTATATATATATATATATATAT